GGGTTAATAGGAATGTTATGTAGATTTGCGGAACGAAGGTCATTTTGCGCGCACGTGCATGCACGTGCGTGCGCGTGCAATGAGTAAAATGACCAATATACTTGATATAGGCATAACTTTCATATCTTTTGATGAAATACTTTCACACTCAGAATATAAGGATATATTAATAGTGTAGACAAGATGACATGGTCAGAATGCGCATGCATGCACGTGCGCGCATGCGCATTGATTGAAATAACCAATACAATTGATATAGACTTAACTTGTACATTTTTTGATGAATTGCTTTGAAACTCAGAATATAAATATATATTAGAAGTGTAGACAAGAAAACTTGATCCACGCACACATGCATGCACGTGCGTGCGCGTGCAATGAGTAAAATGACCAATATACTTGATATAGGCATAACTTTCATATCTTTTGATGAAATACTTTCACACTCAGAATATAAGGATATATTAATAGTGTAGACAAGATGACATGGTCAGAATGCGCATGCATGCACGTGCGCGCATGCGCATTGATTGAAATAACCAATACAATTGATATAGACTTAACTTGTACATTTTTTGATGAATTGCTTTGAAACTCAGAATATAAATATATATTAGAAGTGTAGACAAGAAGACTTGATCCACGCACACATGCATGCACGTGCGTGCGCGTGCAATGAGTAAAATGACCAATATACTTGATATAGCCATAACTTTCATATCTTTTGATGAAATGCTTTGATACTCAGGATATCATGATATATTAATAGTGTAGACAAGATGACCTGTCAGAATGCACATGCATGCATGTGAGCGCATGCGCAATGATTGAAATAACCAATACAAATGATATAGACTTAACTTGTACTTTTTTTGATGAATTTCTTTGAAACTCAGAATATAAATATATATTAGAAGTGTAGACAAGAAGACTTGATCCACGCACACATGCATGCACGTGCGTGCGCGTGCAATGAGTAAAATGACCAATGTACTTGATATAGCCAAAACTTTCATATCTTTTTATGAAATACTTTGATACTCAGAATATAAGGATATATTAATAATGTAGACAAGATGACACGGTCATCATGGACATGCATGCACGTGCGCGCGCTTGCAATGCGTAAAATAACAGATATACTTCATATAGCCGATTTTTTTTTATCTTTTGATGAAATTTGAATATAAAGATGTATTAAAAGTGTAGACAAGTTGACATGGTCATTTTGTACATGCATGCCCGTGCGCGCGCGTGTAATGCGTAAAAAAAACCTATATCTTGATTGCCTTCTTTAATGAAGCTTACAGGGAATAAGACACCAAAAGGAAGTTGGGGAGCGTTTGGGGAACATCTGTAATTTGATTTGGTTTTGTGACTTTCTAAAAGTTCCTAGTAGTTTTTTAGGAATCCACATCTGATTTACACCATCTCTCGAATATACTGTTGTGCAGCACTCCTGAAGTTTCTCCTTTACTGATATTAATATTTTAGTGAGGAGTTAAGAAATAGGCTTGGTAGAACATATACTGGAACCCGTTATATACCTGTTTGTAAGGATTTTTATGGAGTGTAGGAATTCAGTATAGGTATGGTAATACAAATTCGTTTTGTTTGTTGGAACTGTTAAAAATATTTAAAACAGACATATAATGTTGATTTTGAAGAATTTCCTCCTTAGAAAGGGAGTTATGGGTAAAAGTTGGATTACCACTTGCAGAATTAAATCACAAAAACAATGTTGTCACCCGCTTTGTCAGCTGGTACCAGTACATACTGATCATGTTATTTAATACCTTTTTCACTTCTGAGTAGTTGAACACAGAAGGTTTTCATATCTCCCTCAGTCGCTTAATGCGAGATTTTAACATTCATCTGGTACTTTTAATACATTATGACAAAGTGTCATGGTCTTATTTTTCATGTTTGGCCCATCGCCTGGAGTAATATTCCAAAGAATTCATATTTATGAAATTATGACGCCAGTTGAAATATGGAGGTTCCCTAAATTTTGGTCCTTTTAAAATTAGTGATTTAAAGTCTTCATTATTAACTTTATTTACGTCCCCAGTAATAACGTGTCCGGCAGGACTATAGTTGTAGGATGAAAAAGAACATGAACACGTTGGAGGATTATGTTTCAGAATGATGTTCGATATCTAGGCCCTGTTGAGTTTTCTTGTAATTGAAAGGTTTGGAAGCAATTGTTGGTGTATATTTATAAGAAATACAAGATTGATTGATTGATTGTATGTTGTTTTACGTCCCATTCGAGAATTTTTCACTCATATAGAGACGACACCATATACCGGTGAAGGGCTTCAAATTTTGACCTTTACTCGGCACTCAGGGCCATTGAGCAGTGAGGGATCTTTATCGTGCCAACGCCTGCAGTGACACGGGGCCTCGTTTTTTTTTAAAAGGTCTAATCCGAAGGACCCGCAACTTTCACTTCAAAATGCCGAGCGCACGGCGAAGGAACAGTCGCTACCCATTTTTTATTGACCCAGGTCCGTCGCCACCCATATTCGAATTCATGACCTCCCGATCACGGAGCGAGCGCTCTACCGACTGAGCTACCGTGAACGGTAGAAATACAAGATGTGGACGTTAACTTAAATAAGGTAGAATACAAGGCTGTACCCTTTAGTGAATAAATTGTAATTGACGCGGTTAATACAAGTAATATTCTTAATCACTGTGGTTAAGAATATTACTTGTATTAACCGCGTCAATTACATATAATAAGTGTCAATCAATATGTGTTATAGAAAGAAAACCATTATATATTATATATTTTTTTAATATGGATATTTAAATATTATAATAATGAATATATTGAAATGTTTTGAAGGCTTAACCAAATAAAAATACAAATGTAGATCGTTTACTTAGCGTAAAAGATAATCATACATTGAGGTGTAGACTTAGTATCACTGACTCTATGAATCAAAACTGTATTCCTAATCTTTTAATACGAGGGGTGATCAAAAAGTTCGCGAACTATCTATATTTACAAAACCACAATTCAGATGGAAATAAAATTTGGCACACATATAGTCATACACATGTTCTATAAATAGCATGTTATATAATGTTTGTGAAGTCACAATGTGAAAATGACGTCAATAGGTAGGTGACTTGGGACAAAAAATGGTTGACTCAGTAGTCAAACTCAAGCAACGAACGGCTGTAAAGTTTAACGTGTATCTCGGAAATTCCTTTGCAGTAGAATATGATAATTGTACAAGGTTTATGAATTCAAAAGACTTACCAGAAGTTCAATCATTAATTGGATTTACTGTTTTAGTGAAGGCAGGGAAATGTTTAAAAATTATGTTTGTTCTGTTGCCCAGTGAAAGCAAGCCGGTAAAAAGATGTGTCCTAAGTTGAGCAATTTGTTTTGAAAGATCGCCAAGTTACAATTAGAAAAATGGTTGAATATCTGAATAATAATATGATTATTAAATCCCTAAAATATCGAGTTATTTTAGACTTTAAACATATGAGACATGAAGAAAAGAAGGCGCCCATACTTTTTCCACATTGGATAAACGACGCTCCCGAAACAGAGGACTTGGGTTGTCATGGTCACTATGCTAATTCTGAGAAGGAATATCCTTATCACCCATCCTATTGCCGAGATTTGGCCATTTCTGACAGATGGTCTGTTCTTGTTACAAAAAAATAATTTGTATGTTAAGAAATGTAAGAGTCGGAAAAATCTTTTAGCTTCTGTGAACAGACCGCTACGGTGCATGTCACGTGAAGCCTGGATCATGTGATTCGCGCATTGGCAGAACAATGGCAGATGTTCATTAAAATCGGAGAGGACCATTTTAACAAGTATAACTTTTTTTCAAAAGCTTGCCGTCTTTAGCAACAATCTTAAACAGTAAACTGATTAATTAATTTCATTCAGTTTCAAACGACATCATGTATTAATGAATTCATACAAGAATCAAAGTAAATTCTTGTAGTATTTTTCTTACGGTCTACCTAGACTTGAAGAGTTCAATTAAACCGCAACAATATGAGCATCTATAGAATTTCTACGTCTTTGGACTTGCGTACCTTCTTTATATAAATTTTCATTTATACAAGCTATAGTTGAAGACAATATTCAGAAATCTGAAATAGTTCAGTAAGTCTGAAGTCATTACAAATAATTTCTCTTACACTCGTGTTTACGTTTCCAAGAAACAATGAACAGTAGAACTGCGCTTGTAATATTTTTAAATATTTTTTTTTCGTTTTATGAGTGATATTGGTGTGTAAATCACAGAGATTTGCACGTAGGTATATTTCTCATGAAGCGCTAGCACAGCAAATGTACATATGGCTAATATAAGTAACTGTTTTAAACTTTCATCGCCCGGACAATAATAATTAATATTAATGATACGTCTTATCTCGAGACTACAATGCATTTGTTATTAAAACAAAGAATTCTTCTGTTGAAAATATCTTCCTAATAGAGCTATGAAAGAAGACTTGCTGGTGATGAATGACCTTAATTTATCTAAAACGTGTAATTTTGTTATGTAATCATATGAAGCAAATAGTAAAATTCTCTAAAATGATTCTGTTTTGAAAAAAGTAATTTGGGGGAGGGGGTATCCTGAATTTGATTACGCAGATTTTAAAGTTATCAGCTTTATATAAAAACTTCAATTAATTCTTTTGAGATTCTTTCTTTAACGTCTTTTATTGAATTACGCTTTGAAAAAACACAGCCACAATGACTTTACTTTTTTGCGCATACTAAATTTAGAAAACCTTACCGATTATTTTTGAGATTCTCTAATTTTTTTTTTTTTTGGGGGGGGGGGCTTGATTTAAAGACTTTATTAAATATTTGTTGCAAAGAATTCAACTTTGAAAACCACAACCATAGTGATTAAACCCCCTTGCCGTATAAAGTAAATTAAGAAACCTAAAAAAATAAGAGGTTTTACCGGTAGATCTTTCGACAAGTCAAAGTCTTCAGCCAAAGTTACCTCATTTCCTGATATATGTCGCCATGTAAAAATACCTCCGCGGAAGTGAGATCCTTCCACTACCACTATCAAGATCAATGAAATCACGATAGACTTCATCCCATCCCAAAACTGTACGACAGACATTTAGCTTGAATTGCACATTGCAACTCGTCGTGCAGTTTATGTTTTCTGAAAACAGAATGTTGAAGAGGGTATTTAAATACAGCTATTTGCTAGGAGATCTGTTTCAAAGAATGTATGCACCAGTAAATTATTTTTATTGCAGTCGTTTTAAAATCTTGACAAGATCCTTATTTTATTACAGATATTTGAATTTCGACAATATAAACATATTTTTGGTTGAGTTAACACATTTTTTGAATTAAAATATAAAACTCAATTGAGATTAGTGTTCCATGACAAGAAATCCATTGTACATCTTGCCTTCTCCCTAAAAGAAATAGTGAAGAAAACTATTTTCTTGTTTTTCGTTTTACTTTACTTTCTTTAAAAGAAAGATAAGGGAAAACATCTTGGTTAAGGGTCCATTCTTAGCCCCCTTACGAGTAATTCTAACAACAATGCTATTATTCACAATGAAAAAATTATTTTCCAACAGAGGTGATAAAATACTCTAAGGTCACATAAATGACAAAGTTTTCGCTTATTTCCTACATGTGTAATACATTTTTATTGAATTTTCAACAACTCAACTTGAATTATATTTTGCTTCAGAACAAGAGGTCCAAGGGCCTTAACGGTCACTTGATTATAATGTAACGATCATCAATAGATTAAAACAAAGTAAGCGAAAAAGAACTAAATGCTATGTTGCCCAAAGCAAGAGAAATAGGATAACCAGGGATCAGCAAAATATTAATTTAGTACTCAATAACAAAACTTAAAAGTTGATCTATTTATTTGCCTGTACTTTCCCCCATTTGTCACTATCCTCATGCGGACTAAAACAATAGTTCTAGAGCACTTTCAGTTAAAGCATTTCTTTCCCCGTCGCATTGGTCTCTCTTGCTCTTTAAAGAGTATTCATGGTACAAAGATGTGGTATTTTTATACCATTTTCATTTATCTATTTACCGTTCACGGTTACTCAGTCGGTAGAGCGCTGGCTCCGTGATCGGGGGGGGGGGGTGTCGTGAGTTCGAATCTCGGCCGCGACTGACCTAAGTCGATAAAAATGGGTAGCAACTGTTCCTTCGCCATGACCTGGCACTTTGAAGTGAAAGTTGCGGGTACTCCGGGTGAGACCTTAAAAACCGAGGTCCCATGTCACGGCAGGCGTTGGCACGATAAAGATCCCTCACTTCTCAATGGCCCTGAGTGTCAAGTAAAGGTCAAAATTTGAAGCCCTTCACCGGTATATGGTGACGTCTCTGTATGAGTGAAAAATTCTCGAATGGGACGTAAATCAACATACAATCAATCAATCAATCATTTATCTATTATTTAAAACTTTTCCTGACCATTAAAAAAATGAAAGTACTTTTGTATTAAATATTATAAAATTTCTTGTATAATTATGTTATTCAATTGATCTTTTAAGTTACATTATTTACATTGAATAGCTATTATAGGTGAATAGCAAAGGAGAATAACTTCTTTCAGTAGAAATTAATAAATCGACCAAAGGGTACAAGATTTAAAAATCTGGTAAAAACACCCCTGCTTATTACTTCATATACTCTATTTGCCTCCTAGATACCCAGGAGCAGAGAAGATTTTCAAAGAATTAGCGCATTTTCACTATATAATAATTAGATCCTCGCCCTAACACCAGGGATCATGGAATTCACAATTTTGGAAGTGGAAACCTTCCTCATCATAACTATGCATTTAGTTTGTTTGCATAATACCCAAAAGCAGAGGAGAAGATTTTTTTAAAGAAATAATTTTCACTATATATATTCAACAGAGCCCCGTCCTAGCACCGGAACCCCTGATCCTGGGGCCATGAATTTCACAATTTTGGTAGAGGGATTAATGCTTATTACAATCATGCCAACAGTTGGATTGCTTGATGTCCAAAATTGATGATGAAATTTAAAGAGTGGTTTTGGCCCCATCCTTCAAGGGGAAGGGGGGGGGGGCAGAGACCATGAAATTCAGAATTTAGTTACCCTTCACCCATAGATGCTATATGCAAAAATTGGTTGAAATTGATTGAGCTAGCAATAGGTCACCCGAGTTTAGTCTGGTGACCTAAAAGTCAAAGTATAAGAAGTCAATTTGCAAATTATCATTTCTTAGTGTAAAGTTTAAATGCTAACGTGTGAACTGTTTCAGAGTAAAATGTATTATTTTTGGAGATCAGATTAAGCCCATATCGTACTCGCTTCTTCAAACTGAGTAACATATGTTCTATAATTCCTTAAACAAACTTGATTACAATGTATCAAAAGCCTATTTGATGCCATTTAAATTATGTAATAATGTTTGTAAATTATTGGCTTAGAACATATTTCTCGTTCAATAGTTTAAATAACGCAGTTGTAAGAACACATTCCTAATAATAAGAGATGTGGAAATAACAAATCTGTGAGTAAAAAACTACCACATTACTGAAAAGGTGAAACATGATATAAAACTACAGGAGAGTTAAAAGACCTAACAAAGTTTGGCTGAGAAAAGTGCTGTAAATATTTGCCCAAATAAGTTGTCGACGGCAACACTATATACTGGCGACATTTTGTGCAGACAGTGTTTGCCCTTGGCGTCAACATAACGTCGAGTAAAAATACGAGGCCCACGGGCCTTATATGTCACCTGAGTAACGTGTATCAACTTTGCCCTGAGCCCTGCCCTAACACCAGAACCATGACCCCGGGCACATAAAATTCACAATTTTGGAAGAGGCACCCTTACTCATCATTACTATATTCTTAGTTCATTGGCTTAATACCCAGGAGAAAAGGGGAAGATTGTCAAAGAATTATTGCAATTTTACTATGTAATCATTAGAGCCCTGCCCTAACACCATAACCTCTGACCCAGGGGCCATGAAATTCGCAATATAGGAAGAGGCACCCTTACTCATCATAACTATGCATTCAGTTTGTTTTCGCTGGATTAGAGAAGAAGATTTTTAAAGAAATAATGCATTTTCAGTATATATTCAACAGAGCCCAGCCCTAACACCAGAATCCCTGACCCTGGGGCCATGACATTCACAATTTTAGAAGAGGCACCTTTCCTCATCATAACTTTGCATATAAAATTTTTTGTTTGCTTAATACCCTGGAGCAGAGGAGAAGAATTTTGAAGAATTAATGCATTTTCACTATATAATCATTAGAGCACCACCATAACACCAGAACCCCTGACCCTTGGGTCATGAAATTCACAATTTTGGAAGAACCACTCTTTCTCAACATAACTATGTTCTCTGTTCATTGGCTTAATATCCAGGAGCAGAGGAAAGATTTTTAAAGAATTAATGCATTTTCACTATATAATCATTAGAGCCCCGCCCTAACACCAGAACCCATGACCCAGGGGCCATGAAATTCACAATTTTAGAAAAGGCATCTTTCCTCATCATAACTATGTACTTAGTTCATCGGCTTAATACCAAGGAGCAGAGGAGAAGATTTTTTTTAAGAAATAATGCATTTTCACTATATATTCAACGTAGCCCTGCCTTAACACCAGAATCCCTGACCCTGGGGCCATAAATTTCATAATTTTGGTAGAGGGCTCAATGCTAATTACAATCATGCTAAAAGTTTGACTGCTTGATGTCCAGGAGTAAAGAAGAAGATTTAAAGATTGCATTAATTTTATGGTTTTAGCCCCACCCCTCAGGCCCCAGGGGGGTAGGGGTTATGAATTTCACAATTTTTACTCCCCCTTCACCCATATATGCTATATGCCAAATTTGGTTGAAATTGGTTCACTGGTTCCAGAGAAGAAGCTGAAAATGTTCAAATGTTAACGGACGATGCACTACGACGGACGAAAACAGATAGCAACAATAGGTCACCTGAGTAAACTCAGGTGACCTAAAAATAAGGTCAATTTTGGAATTGATTTCAGCATATCTCAGGAAGTATATGAGATTTCGGAATGAACTTTGGTAGCAATGTAGATTGTTTATATGTGAATAGAAAGTAAAATTTTAGATCATTTGATTAAAAAGTATTTCATTGGCAAAAGAGTGTAACCTATGTAAGGGATTCCATACCTTATTTTTTTTTTTTAAATACATCCCACATATTTTGTAATCGGATAAAATTGATCTAAAGGCCTGTGGCTATGTAGAAACTTATTTAATAAGTGAAATTACAAGTAAATATAATGCAACCATTTGTAGAAATATATATATATATCTATATCTATATATATATATATATATATATATATATATATATATATATATATATTATATATATATATATATATATATATATATATATATATATATATATATATAAAGCACTAAAAACCAACAACACTGTATATCCGAAGTGTCGGATCTACTAAGTAGATACAAGGTCACGGATGGAAATTTATATAAAGCACTAAAAATGACCAACGACACGAACAATAATAATTGTCAAATTTTCGGGACAACCTGTCCCTTCCTCAGGACAAAGAAAAAAGTTAAGAAGTCATAAAAACAAAGGAAATAGAGAAGCAAAAACAACTAGCACTACTACTAAACTACCAAACACTAAATATTTACAAGGTTACATGTTTAATTTGGAGTTTATAAACAGTTGTGAAGAAAGAAATCCGGAGCGCTATGAATTGCGTCCGGTCTATCGGGTGTACTCGGTGAAGTGTGATTTACATAATTGAACGAATTAATTATCGCTAATTAATTACGGCCAACAGTAAATCGTACATTGTCTTATTCTCTCAAAATAGCGTAACTCTACATGATAAAAAGAAATTAAAGAAAGATAATATGGAAGGACAATTTTGAAATATGAATTTGGATATATTATAAATTTGGAAATCGGAAAAAAGAAATAAACAAAAATGTGAGCTGTAAATATTTGGGTAGGTTGTTCCAGGATTATTAATACGAATTAACGGTAAAGTTTACGCTATATAGAGAGAATGAACTTGTTTGTTACAATTCGGGATTGGGTCTAGTTCACGTTCATCCTGGTGAAGTCATTAAG